GCTTTCTGTAGTAGCCCCACCCCTGCAGTTCTCTGCCTGGGCTCTGCCCCTGTAGGATGGGCTCTTGTACCCATAGCTCTCCCTGAGTGAGAGCTCTGCCAGGCATCTTTTGGAATCTAGGTGGATGCAGCTATGCCCCCACGGCTCTTGCTCTCTGTACACTGGCAGAGATGATAGGGGAGTGTGGACACTGCCAACGTTCGCCACCTGTGTCCTCCATAGGGGTGGCCACCATGACACCAAACCGCAGCCCATTGGATCTGCACCTGAGGCAGCCAAGGAGCACAGAGCTGGAGTGCAGAGAGCAGAGCCCATGTTGTGAGGCAGCACCTGGCAGCACACCCCAATGTCCCATAGGTTCAGGCAGCCCCTCCTTTGAATTCACTGTGCCCTTGGGACCCTTTTACTCTGGGCCTGTGATGGGAGGGGCAGCCCTGATGATTTCTGAATTATCTCTGGGGTTATTCTTCCATTGTTTTCCGCAATACCTCCTGCTTCTGCTGAGATGGCCGATTAATAATATCAAATGGTGTTTTGTCCATACACTGAGTTTCTTCCAATCATATATGCTCATTCTGTTCAATATGGATGGGCTGAGAGTTGTTCAAATCTTTAAGCTCTGATTAACAGTTCTGTCCTTTTGTCATTTCTCTCTTCTCTCATTTTACTGTAAGGCGTCAGGAGGAACCAAGGACACTCCTTCAACACTTTGCTTAGAAATAGCTTCAGCTAAATATCCAATTTCATTACTCACAGTTCAACACTAGCACTCGAAGATGAACACAATTCAGCCAAGATTTTTGCCTCTTTATAATGAAGATCTCCTTTCTCCCATTATCCTGTAATCCTGTAACATATTCCTCATTTACGTCTGAGGCCTCATCAGAATGACCTTTACCCTCTATAGTTCTACCAACATTCTGTTCAGGATTACTTAGGAAAGCTGAGGTTTTCTCTATAGGTCTCCTCTTTTCTTTCTTGGCTTTCACCAGAATTGCCCTTAATGATCGGTCCACTTATGGCCGTAGCCTTTTTCTAGCATGCACCTCAAAACTCCTCCAGCTTCTACCCGTTACCCAGTTCCAAAGCCATTTCCACATTCTTAGGTATTTGCTGTAACAGCACCCCATTCCCAGTACCAACTTTTATCTTAGTATGTTAGGGCTGCTATAACAGAATACTGTAGACTAGGTGACTTATAAATAACAGAAATGTAGTTCTCACAGTTATGGGGGCTGGGAAGTCCAAGATCAAGGTGCCAGCAGATTCAGTGTCTGGTTGGGTCCTTTTCCTTATTCTTAGACATCCGTATTTCAATGTATCCTCAGTTGGTGGAAGGGGTAAGGGAGCTCTCTGGGGGTCTCATTTACAAAGGCACTAATCCCATTCATGAGGGCTTCACTCTGATGACCTAATTGCCTCCCAAAGGCCCCACCTCCAAGATCATTAGGTATCAGTGTATGAATTTTGTGGGGAGTGGGGTGGAATATAAGCATTCAGTCTGTAGGATCACATAAGGTATATTACAGGTCCTGGAAATTAGGACATGGACATATCTTTTTGAGGGCCACTATTCAGCTCACTACAACTGCTTTTACACAATTCTAAAAGTATAGTATTATAAATCAGAGGAATTGTCTGATATGGGATATTCATCCAATTCTTCATAAATAATTAGGTGCTGGTTCATATTATTTTTTCTAATTCTCCCATTACAAAAACATCTGCAGTTAGTTTGACCCTTGTTATCAATTAGCATTCTCAGAGTCCTTTAACTACAGCACGAGTTTACACCTAAAAATAGGTTTTGTGTTACTAACATTTTGGGGGCTATGCACTATTGATATCTCTGCTGTCTAGTTGTCAAAGTAAATCAGTCGGTAGGATGTAAAAGGTGGCCCACTTTGAAGAATAAAATAACCTCCCAGGATTAGATTCCAATTTTAATTCAATTACATGTTAGAAAAGAAAAGATTTGGTTCTGTTTAATTCCCATTATAAAACTGAGTGAGTTGTCACCTAAACTTAAACATTGTACATTAATTTGATGTTACTGTATCCTTTGTATAAGAAAGAGGGAATGGAGAGCAAAAAGACTAGTTCATTATTCTCTAAGGAACGTACTAATTCCTATAGGTGAAAACATAGTTCACTTTATAGGTAGGATGTGAAACACAGCTCATGCTTTATCTATAGGCTACCTAAAAGAATTTATAGTGAAGGCGGTAGTCTCCAAACATCTGTTGATTTAATTTGGGACTTAGTTTGCTAAGTACATTATTTCTGGGCTATTTTGAAGCATAAACTTCTGGATTGCGTAGACTGTTGATAAGGGTTCATAAAATTGATACAGCCTGGTTAGATTTAGGAAGTTGAAGAGTTATTATTCACCAAGTATATAAAGGCACATTCTGATATTCTGTACAACTGAATGAGAAAAGGGCCTTGAATATAGCACTAGGATCTAAGCATTGACCATCACTTCAATAGTTCCTTTACTCCTTTGTCCTATACTTTCTTCTCCATAGATTAATCAACCCATATTGATTTCTAGAAGGGAAGGCACAATTCTTGGGCTTCAGCACATCCTACCACATAAAGTTTTTGAAAAACACTTGAAGCAGACAGATGTTTTCGGTAGTCATCAAGCCACATTTTTGTTAACGACAATGATATAGTCTATATACTCAAAAACATTATAGAAAGGACATGTAAATAAGCTGGAATAATGATGCATTTTCTAAAGACTTTGAAGGATAGTTGGCGTTTAGTATTCCAAAGAACAGGTATTTGAATTCTGATGGACAAGACAGACAAGCATATGTACAAGAATAGAAATTTGGAAATTCACCATAAAAATAAAACAGAAGGAGTATATTTATAAGCAGAAAGAGCAGCCTCCAAGTTGGTGTGTTAAGGTGGAATCAGTAACCATGGGCCTAACAGAAAGATACTAGTCATGGTATCAGTGTGATCACTTATTGAATATTACACTTTGGAAAAATCTCTTCGTACCTCCGATTCCTTATGCTCTTGTCTATAAATGAGATTAAAAATACCACTTCCTCTTAGTTCGTGGGATTATGATAACTAATGGAATCTTTTAAAAAAATTGAAAGCTCTAAAGCATTTTTTAAGCTCCCTGTTATAAGTAAAACCCATCATAAAACATGTGGCATATATGTGAATTGCTAACAAACCAAATTATTGATAGCTGATACCACAGCCCAGCTTCTAGCTATAGTAATTAACACTGCTTTTGTAGGGGAGAATAAGCTTTAAGCTTTATGCCTACTTGGACTCAGTCTCCAAAATTGTTTCTTTCCTGAATTAAAGGAAACCTTTCCTATATTAAGGATTGTTGTTTCTTCTCTTGGTTTTTTCATCAGACACACAAATTTTAAAACACTGACTTTCATTTTTAAAACTAAGGACCAATATATGCACTGTACGAGTTTATTTGCTTAAATGTGTATAAAAATATGATAGTTTAATAGGTATTGAGAAAGAGATGTAAAATAGATTAATATAGTTATAACTATCACAGAGGATTCCTGGATTGTTGGCCAATTTGTTGAAAAAACATCTGGATATGGGTTGGTCTTTCTGGAGGAAACTAGACCCGTCAGGTTAATAAAGCTCTGTGACAATTGTGTAGAAATGTTGGTGAGCATTTAAAATGTGGCCTTGTCATGTTTGCTTGTTCTGGCCCCTATGCTGACCTCCATGAACCATGATGATAATTAAGCATAGATGGAGGGTCAGAGCCCAGTTGTCAGGAATGCCTGAGGCTTTCCTCTGAGGCTTTGCCCTAAACTCCAGGCAACTCTCTCTGCCAGAGGAAACTGACAGAAAATGTATTTCCTCCAAATATAAGAAGGGTTTTCTGCATTTGGATGGGCCGGTTACTTGTGGTAGGGTGGAGCTGCCACCCTTAAATTACTCGGCTTAAAAAAGTCACAAAGGCTTCCAAGCCTCTTGGTAGGTCCAGAGCAGATGTAAGCCTCTTCTCCCTGCTGTTATCCCAGATGTAGGAGACCTACTGAGTGTGAACTCTCCATTCCTAGCATAAGTTAAAACTTTAATTCCGGCCTTATCTATTTCTCAGATTTTATCCATGACATTCTAATTCCAGTACTAATCTTCATTCTAATCCCCACCCTCAGTTTCTCACTGACTAGGCAACTAGATCACAGGCTTTCCTCATCCTCTCATACAAACCTCATTTGGCCTGGTGGTTGCATCGACTTCAACACTTTAGGATAAGTGGCCCTGGATGCAAGGCAGGCAACTGGGTATTTAACTGACAGAGTTAACTTTTCCTTAGCTTTGATCTCGGCAAAGGAATGTTTGACCCAAGCAAAATAAACCCTAAGTACTAGCATCTGTATACTCAGTACCAGATTTAAGTTGAAATAAAGGCATTTGATGTATTAGGGAGATTTATTAGCATATTCATCTATCACCCAGATCTGATTAAGACATTTGATTTCTAAATCATAAGATTTCTAAAATACTTTTTGTTTCATTTTCATGACTCAGTGTGTCTCATTGTAAGGCATGTATATTATTGATAGTATTTCTAATAACTGTCTTTTAAATTTTATATTTATTTTCCTTGTCAATAGATATTTTATTAGTTGAATTTCAGAGTAAATTATTTAAATGAGTATAGGGAATTATTTGAGTGACAGCTAATGAATGCCAATAAATTTCCTTCTCACAATGGTAGATATGTAATTTACCATTATTTATTTAAAAAAAAACTAATCTTCATTTCATACTTCTAATTTTTTTTCTCCTGCACACATTTCATCATTTTGTTCATACCTAATAATTCAATCAATAGATTGACAAATATATATGCACATATATATATATTCAATTTTGTTAATTATTAAAACAGGGTCAAAATTTATTGGGTGAATTAAAGGTAGTGACCCTAATGAGGCTTCTGGATCTCAATTATATATGTAACGCCTGTTTTTCTATTTCTTTAGATAATCCAGAGTCTGCTCTACCTCTCTTCCTTTGTATTGCCTTCAAATATCACACTTCAAGCAATAGTGACAAGGTTTAACAATATCACACATAATCCAAAGAAATCTGTTCAAGAGAGCATCTGTCAACAGGTAAAATTATACTTTTCACTCTGTTTTTCTTGATTATGCCCACAAATAAAAGGAACAAGACACGACAGACATAAGTTGTATAAAATATTACAGAATTGTGCACAGGAAAATAACGTGAGGCCAATGAGTGTATATGAATTGGGTCTGAACTATTGGTTAACTCAAGGGTTGTTAATAATGAACAGGTGATAATCTTGGAAGTGGCATTTTTCAAGGGTTAATTGATTTTGGTCTACTCTGCAATGATTCAGCTAAGAGATTGTAAGATGTCAATTTAAATGGAAGAAACAAGACAGCTGGAGATAAGGAAGTGAAGAGGTATCTGAGTGGTGACTTGCAACCAGGAGGATGCAATTATAATTAAAATCAAGTAAATATGCTGGAGAAAGAGTATAAAAGATCACATACTGAGATAAACTGGTGAACTATGAAAAAATAATACAGAAAACAAAGTACTGAGGAAAAAATAACTCCATCATATAATGCTTTTTTAAAGGCCACTTCACTTTTCTATGAGCATAGATTTCTGTCTATAAAATGGAAATCCCAACATTAACCTAGATCATTAGTAAATTTCAATATTAATAGTAATAACATGATTTGAATATTAGTAAACTTCAATATTTATATTGATATAATGATTTTAAAATAATGGATTTAAGATTATTTAGAAATGTTATTTATGATTTGTGAAATGGCTGAAAAATAAATCATCCAGTTGTATTTCTAAGTGTTTACTCCAGAATATAGAGGTGATAAAAGGTACAATAGTTTAAAATCATAAATTAATAATGAAAGATGTTTTAGATTCCTTTATGCAAGCAGGAAAATTGCAGAATGAGGACTTTAAACCTCATGATAGTTTTTATACTCTGATAATACAACAAAAAGTAGTTTACCCCTTACAAGTGCCATTTGGTATTTCTTTAGTATTATTCTAGATTTATTTGATTTCCACACAATAAGAAATTTGACTACCTTAAAAATATAGTAACAAAATTCAATAATATATAAATTCAGATTATTTAGACAACTTTCAAAGACCGAGTGCTATTTTCAGCTGGTTTAGCCAGTACTTACAATCTGTCTCTTTCCTTCTCTGTCTTCCTTAAGCATTATACTTTTTAAAAGATGCTATTTCTGGGCTTCCCTGGTGGCGCAGTGGTTGAGAGTCCGCCTGCCGATGCAGGGTACACGGGTTCGTGCCCCGTTCCGGGAAGATCCCACATGCCGTGGAGCAGCTGGGCCCGTGAGCCATGGCCGCTGAGCCTGCGCGTCCGGAGCCTGTGCTCCGCAACGGGAGAGGCCACAACAGTGAGAGGCCCGTGTACCGCAAAAAAAAAAAAAAAAAAAAAAAGATGCTATTTCCAGTGCTCATATGCTGTAAATCCATCATGTTGGATTAACTGATGACCAAAGAGAAACCAAATTACATAGATAGATAGATAAATTTTTATTGTTTCCAATAAAGCAAAAATGATTACAAAAGCAGACCATAAACATTCTGAAGACATTCAAATCTTTTCAAAATCATTCTTTGACGAGATACGGTGTTTTGGATCGATCTGAACAGTTGGCATCTGTAGAATATTAATGAGCTTACAGAAGGTCCCTGCTGTGATGTGTCCATTTTTGAATAGGATGTACACTGTGTGCATTATTTGTCTGTGGCGAAAACTTCTCATTTGACCTTAATGCTATAGTTTTCCTGACATTTTGGGTAGGTTTCTAACATACAAATGTATCCATGGAGAGAATTTTTCAAGTTATTTTCTTACAGTCTTGAAAATTGTCTTTGACTCTTTTGACCCATAAGAATATTTTAGACATGCAGAGAAGACATAATAAAAAATACCTAGTTTTTTTTTTTTTTGGCTTGTTTCCTCTTCTAAATACATTAACCAAGAGTATTATTTCTAATTCTATTTATGTAATTTTAAGAGTCAGCAGTGATTAGTGAAATCCAGTCCCTGACATTATTGTTTTACTTGGGTCTAGTTTCTAATATTTTCTGAGCTTTAGTCTTATTTAAAAGATAGGTACAGCATCTTATAGGGCTTTTGTGGAAATTTAACTGAGCAAATAAATATTTAATAAGCACTTAGCAAGAGTACTCAATATTTGAGTCAGAGATCCCTTTATTCATTTTTGTATACCTATAGATTAGGTTATAGGTTTGTTAGATTATAATACATTTAAATCAGTAAGGTAAGAGACAAGCAGTTTGAACTTTTGAAACTATTCCATCTAGTTACTGTCACTATATCTAGAGCCATATTGTCTGTGTGTATGTAGTCAGAGAGAAGTAACTTGTTATCATGCTTTTGTTGTATCTTCTTGGAAAAATAAAATGGATTTGCCTTCCCTCTACCATTTAAAACTTTTTAAATTATAAAACATTTCTATTCACAGTCCCTAATAAAAAGGTAGATGCCTTTGTCACTTCTACCCCAACTTCTGAAACAATAATTTGAGGTGGCTTTCCAAACAGCACTTCTAAATGTATGGGTATAAAAACAGATGTAAATGGATATAAAAACAAAAAACGGGAGGGAGAAGGTACTTTCTCTGTAAACCATGGTGGCAATTGAAGATTTTATTTGACAGTATTTTATTCTGGTTTATACTTTTGCATTTTCCATATTTTGTAGAAATTGGAATGCGCCACTTATCTAATCAAAAAAAAAAGAACTTAAAGACAAATAATAAAAAATAATAATGAAAAAGCAGTATATACAATTAGATCTATATGATCTATATGATTACAATATTATTTACATTCATCAGAAATATAGGAATATAGAAAAATAATGAAAAGAGATATGCAAAATTACTAATAATATTGTGTAAGGTTAGTGTGATTATGTACAATTTCTTTCTTTTCTTGGTTTTCTAATGGTATTCTATTACAGGGATCAGCAAACAATAAACCTTGGTCTAATTTGTAAATAAAAGTTTATTAGAACATCCACACCCATTTTTTTATAGTATTGTCTGTGGCTGCTTTTGCGCTAAAACTATTAAGATGAGTAGTTATGAGAGAGACCATACAGCCTGCAGAGCCTAAAATATTATCTCACCCATTACAGGAAATGTTTGCTGATTATTGCTTTATAACTATATCAGTGTTATAAAGTGAATAAAATAAAATGTAATTGTTGATCTAATTCAAAAATAGAATAGAACCTTTACCACAATTATCCAAAAGGAGAAATAAAAGAAGGCAATAGAAAAAGCCAATAGATATGCCAAAAACCTACGCGAGGATTATTCCATTCCTTGGTTCAGCATTAAACTGGAAGGAAAATCCAGAACTATAAGTATCAGTTAATGAGATCGGGACAAACAAATGGTGATTAAGTACTCGAAATCCTAGTCAGAGCAATTAGGCAAGAAAAAGAAGTCAACATCCAAATTTAAATGGAAGAAGTAAAATTGTCTGTTTGCAGATGACTTGACCTTATATTATAGAAAACCCTAAAGACTCCACCAAAAAACTGTTAGAACTAATCGACAAACTCAGTAAAGTTGCAGGATACAAAACCAATATATAAAAATCAATTGTGTTTCTAAGCACTAACAATGAATTATTGGAGAGAGAAATTAAGATAACAATTTCATTTACAATAGCATCAGAAAGAATAAAATACTTAAGAATACATTTAACCAAATAGGTGGAAGATCTATACACTGAAAATTATAACACTGATGAAAGAAATTGAAGACAGAAATAAATGGAAGGATATTCCGTGCTCATTGATTGGAAGAATTAATATTGTTAAAATGTTCATACTACCCAAAGCAATCTACAGATTCAATGCAATCCTTATCAAAATTCCAATGACATTTTTTGCAGAAATAGAACAATCAATCCTAAAGTTCGTATGGAACCACAAAAGGCCCCGAATAGCCAAGCAATCTTGAGAAAGAACAGCTGGAGGTATCACACTCCCTGATTTCTAACTCTATTACCAGATAATAAAAACAGTGTGGTATCGTCATAAAAACAGACACATAGATCAGTGAAACAGAATAGAGAGCCAAGAAATAAATCCATGTATTTTGTCAATTAATTTTTGACAAAGGTGCCAAGAATATACAATGGGGAAAAGATAGTGTCTTAAATAAATGGTGCTGGAAAAATTGGATATCCACATGCAAAAGAATGAAACTGAACCCCCATCTTACACTATATACAAAACTCAACTCAAAATGGATTAAAGACTTGAACATGACCTGAAACCATAAAATTCCTAGAAGAAAATATAGGGGGTAAGCTCCTTGACATTGGCCTTGGTGATAATTTTTTTGGATTTAACATCAAAAAGCAAAGGCAACAAATGCAAAAATAAACAAGTGAGACTACTAAACGAAAGCTAAACTAAAAACTTTCTGCACAGCAAATTGTCCACAAAATGAAAAGGCAGCCTATGAAATGGGAAAAAATACATGTAAACCACATATCCAATAAGAGGTTAATATCTAAAATATACAAGGAACTCATACAACTCAATAGCAAAAAACACAAATAACCCAATTTTAAAATGGGCAAAGGACCTGAATAGATATTTTTCTAAACGAGATATATAAAAGGCCAACAGGTACATGAAAAGGTGCTTAACGTCACTAATCATTAGGGAAATGAAAGTCAAAACCAAAATGAGATATTACCTCATACCTGTTAGAATGGCTGTTATCAAAAAGACAAGCAATAGCAAATACTGGCAAGAATGTAGAGAAAACAGAAGGCTTTTATGCTGTTGGTGGGAGTGTAAACTGTTTCAGCCTCTATGGAAAAAAGTTTGGAGGTTCTTCAAAAAATTAAAAATAGAACTACCATATGATTGAGCAGTTCTACTTCTGGGTACATATACAAAGGAAAGGGAATCATTATCTCGAAGAGATATTCCCATGTTCACTGAAGCATTACTCACGGTAGCCAAGATATGGAAACAAACTAAGTGTCCATTGACAGATGAATGGATAAAGAAATGTATATACACACACACACACACACACACACACACACAGTGAAATATTATTCAGCTTTAAAAAATGATGAAATCCTGCCATTTGGGACAACACGGATGAAACTGGAGAGCATTATGCTAAGTGAAATAAGCTAGACAGAGAAAGACAAATTCTACATAATAACACTGTAGAGATGGAGAGAGGATGGTAAAAGTGTACAAACTTTCAGTTATAAGATGAATAAGTTCTCAGGATCTAATGTGTAATATGGTAACTATAGTTGATAATATTGTGCAAATTGAGATTTGCTAAGAAAGTAGAATATAAAGTGTTCATACCAAAAAAAGTAAATATATGGGGTGATAGATGTATTGATTAACTTGATTATGGGAATCCTTTCATAATGTATATGTATATCAAATCATGTTACACATTAAATATATTACACTTTTATTTGTCAATTATACCTCAATAGAGCTGAAAAAACTCAAGAAAAGTGATTAAAGCTGAATGTCTGAGAACTTCCTTGCAGATATGCCTGACTCACAGAATGTAAAATAAGCATTTTAATCTTCAGCCCTGTTATCCGTTAATTGCAGATTATATCGATTTCCCTCCATCTATGAAATACCGTAAAATATTATGTTAAAAAGGCTTAAGTATATGTGCCAAAATTAACATTCAGAAAAAGAGTGAAGGTAATAGTTGTCCGTATTGTTACTTCCATTTTAATACTCATCATCATAGTATTTATTCTAGGGAAACAGTGCTCTACCTATTTTAAGTTTCATTTTTATCATTTTGCCTATATGAGTTTCTGAAGGCAAAGTCCTTGGGTAGAACTATGGACAAAATAGAAAACTTTAAAGAGTGTTTTCACTCAAAATCTGGAAGGTGCGTATAGAAGATCACCGAAAATATCTTAGATACAGTTGACATCAAACAAAAATTAAACCTCTGTGTCTGTTCACAGTTTAGTTTTTTGGTAGGTTTCCTGAATTAGTGGCAAATTTAGCTTTTATTTGCTTATTTTCTATATTGTCTTACCAACAGACAAGCGTTTCCTTTTTCCTCTACATTCCAATTGAAAAATATTCACAAATGGAATGAGAGTAGTAAAAGAAAGATGTTGAGAAATATTGGCGATTACAGCTAAAGGCCAAGCAAGCAGCATCACTCTACAAAGAAACACTGATGTTAGGGAACCAAGATTTTTTTAATTTAATTTCTGTTGTATTAAGCTATTTGTGATCATTTCTTCCGCAAGAGAGTGGGTGCTCTATACCATAAAGCTAGCAGTTAAGTGTTCCTAGGCATATCCAAAAAGAAAGTCCCTTTCTTTGAATAAAAATAACATACCATCCATTTGATTGGGAGCATATCATTGCTATGAAGAATTCATAAAATGTATCATTCATAAAATGATAGGTATCACCAGTTTTGGAAGCACATTAAAATTAATTCATTAGAATCACACAATTTCTAATCCTATAATTTTAGAAAATAGATCTATGCTAAAATGTCTTTAAGTATTATCAGTTATTAAAAGTGGAGGACTTCCCTCGTGGCTCAGTGGTTAATACAGGGGACACGGGTTTGAGCCCTGGTCCGGGAAGATCCCACATGCCGCGGAGCAACTAAGCCCGTGCGCCACAACTACTGAGCCTGAGCTCTAGAGCCCACGAGCCACAACTACTGAGCCCACGTGCCACAACTACTGAAGCCCGCGCCCCTAGAGCCCACGCTGCACAACAGGAGAAGCCACCGCAACGAGAAGCCTGCGCACCGCAACAAAGAGTAGCCCCCACCCACCACAACTAGAGAAAGCCCACACTCAGCAACGAAGACCCGACGCAGCCAAAAATAAATAAATAAATAATTTATTTTAAGTGGAAAAATTCTAAAATATGCTTACTATTTAATTCTGTGAAATTCATCAGATGTAATGTAAGGTCTTTTTAACCTTTGTATAGGAAATCTTAAATGTTTTGGATTAAGAAATTATTCTAAGTGATGACAGCTTCACTTATCTTAGAAATCAGACTGACATACCTTTTGTTTTTTGGTTGGTACTTTAGTAAAATCTGAATTCTTAACTCTCTTTGAGTAATTGTTGTTTCCATAAACAAAATGCTTTCAATTTGTAACCCATAACAAAGTTACATACCTCACTCCAATTTTTTGGTTAATTTTCTGATAACTTTCTGAGTACCAGAGTACTAAAAAATATTTATGAAAAAATTACATAGTTGTAGTTAATAGAATAAAAATATTATAATAATATTATTTTAATAACTACCAAGAGTGATTTATGAAAATGGAAATATGGCTTAAACTGTTATTTCATTTTTTTAATGCAGGTTACTTGAATTCCAAATAGAGGAGTGGAAATGCCACCCCCAGCAGGCTCCCCACCGCTGCATCCACCTCCTGATGGAGGATGGGGCTGGGTAGTGGTTGGAGCAGCTTTTATCTCCATTGGATTTTCATATGCATTTCCCAAAGCTGTCACAGTTTTCTTCAAAGAAATTCAGCTAATATTCAACACTACCTACAGTGAAATAGCATGGATATCATCCACTATGCTAGCTGTTATGTACGCAGGAGGTAAGGTTCTTTGGACTAAATACAATTCTGGTTTAAGAAAGCAATTGCTCCATGCCACAGTATTTTACATGTAGTGCCTTGGTACATTAAAGCCCTGTTTTCATATTATCCTCACTTAAAACCAACCAGAAGTATAATTAGGACTGAAGTTTTAGTGATTTTAGTAATTCAACATCTTAAACTATTCACTTTATTCTGAGTCTTACTAGAGTGTTTATTTGAATGAGGATGTCTTTGCACAAACTAAGATTTACTAAATTATGGAATTTTCAGGGGTGGTACCTATCCATTTAATTTGGAATAGAGTCTATACTATAATGGTAGTATCATTTCCTAATACTGCTACAGTTGCTTTTTTCTGAATGAAACTCAAGTTGCTGACAATCTATAAGCCTAGAAAGTAATTCACTTTAAGTTGCAAAATAGAGTGTTATCATGCACATTCTGGATCCATTCAAGTTCGTGTGAATAAAATAATTCCTTATCTCTGTAGTACTTACTAAATATGACATTTTTTAATTTAAATGGTTGCCTGACGATTATCTTGTTACATTCCATGTTCAAATGAGGGTATGATTCATAAGGAATAACGAATAAATAAGTACCATATTACTTCTGTTAAAAATTATTGGAAAATTATTGGAATTATTAGTTCATTGCTATGTCACCCATCTGCTTGAAATCAATCCTAACAGCAGACAAGACTGTCTACAGTTTTCTTTTAGTCATTACTTAAAATATTTAGATTTTAGGGTTTTCATTTTAGATTTTTAGGGTTTTCATTTTCAGCTGGATATTTGACTTTAAGATACAGATAGACACTCAGAATATAAGCACTTAAAGAAATTATACAAATCATCTTTCAATGTCTTACTTTACAGGTGAGGATAATATGGTTCATAGTGATGGGGGATATACCGTTAGGAGTAATATCCAACACATGTTCATATTTACTTTCAGTTAAGGCCTCTCTAAATGCTTGCTATGTGTCATCTGACCTGATTCTTTTAACATTCTGTGAAATAAGAATTACTTCTTTCCATTATATAGCCAAGGAGATAGAAAGATAAAGTACTTTTCCCAGGTCAAGCAGCTCATTAGTGGCAGATAGAAATTGAGACCCCACACGTGTAATCACTCTGCCCTTTTGCCTTTCTCTTACCTCCATATGTAAGTGGCAGAGCCAGGTCTGTGCAAGGCGTTCCACAAACCTGATTTAGGCACTGCCCCACCAAGGTCAGTTGTTTAGTGACATAATAATTATCCTTTAGGGTATTATCTTTTTATTGTACTACCAAGGTAAAAATTTGATCCCCAAATAATCCTGCATGTGTGTGTGTGTGTGTGTGTGTTAGTGGGTATTTTCTACTTTCTGGATGTCAGTGATTTTACATTAATCCACTGTATGTCTCCATTACCTTTTTGGTTAAGTTAAATTGATGGATTTCTGTGCCAGTACCAAAAGGTAACTTTAAAGTGCTATTTGGATATGTCAGTGAAAACCTTTGCTTTTAAAACACTTTCTGAGATTCTCCACTAGACGGTTGCTTTAAAGGTTGTACCTGTGTTATCTCTGATGACTGTAGAAACAGTAGATACTGTACGCTGGTCATATGACATTCTTCCACTCCCAAGCTGGCTCTAAAAGGAGGCTTAGAATGAATAACAACGTAATTACTTTTCTCAAACCAATAAATCTCAATGCCAAATTATAAGTAAGTAAATATATATTTATCATTAAATAACTGTTTTTATTTTATTTGTGCTCTGATTTTCCCATTTTTAATACATACAATATAAATGTTAAAAAACACAAAAGAGAAGTCTTTTGAAGTTCATCAAGAAAACTTTAGTTTGGTAAAATAGCAATTTAGAAAAAACTGCCTTAAAATGTTTAGGGTAATAGATGAATAAAATAGGTGTAAATGAAAGATCCACGGGGATTTTGTATCTAGTTGTTTTAAGAAAGCAATGCTAGACACATGACAATACTTAGTACGTAGTGATTGAAGATGATAATATCTAGGTGAGTTCTGAGTAGGTAGTTGGAAAAAGTGCTTAGAGTCCTTACTCATTAGACCTGAGACATTTTGTACATCATCTCTGCTATGGAGAAGAGTCATCAGAAATTCACCTACCCTTTGGTCTTTCCCTTAAAAGTAGAAAAGTAGAGCTTCCCTGGTGGCGCAGTGGTTGAGCGTCTGCCTGCCGATGCAGGGGACACGGGTTCGTGCCCCGGTCTGGGGAGGTCCCACATACCGCGGAGCGGCTGGGCCCGTGAGCCATGGCCGCTGAGCCTGCGCGTCCGGAACCTGTGCTCCGCAATGGGAGGGGCCACAACAGTGAGAGGCCCGCGTACCGCAAAAAAAAAAAAAAAAAAGTAGAAAAGTAATTCCAGGTCCATTGCCTGCTGGATAGAACTGTTACTACCTGCCATGTCCACTGTTGCATGGAGAACTCATACACTTACATGGTTTGTTGGAAATAACATCCATGTCTTACCTTGATAATTAGTTTTTAATTTTTCTAACAAGAAATATTGGTACATTTAAAACTGTAGTCTCATTACGAAATCAATTCCCCTTATGTGGGTGCAGATAATTTTTTTCAGAAACATAGTAACTATTTAAAACAAAAAGTCTGATGGGCTCAGTTAATCTAAGACACAGACCTTGGTCCTGTTACTAAAGTGGCAGTGCTTTTCCAAGTATGGTCCACAGATTTTCTGCTTCTGAATCATCGGTCTGTTATTAAAAATGCATAGTTCTGGGTCTTATCCCAAACCCTTTCTTATCCGAATTTCTGTTGGTAGAGTCCAGAAACTTACATTTCAACAAGTATCTCTGAACTGTTGTAAGAGCAAATCAATATTTGATTTAAAAATATTGTATTTAAATTTTTCTCTAAGATTTGAAAAATCTCTACTTATAGAGGCCTTTTAGGCTGATGATTATGAAATCAAAGATGTAAAGCAAAAAGGCATATAGTTTACTATGAAGTATAATGAGTCTCTCTACCAAGTAACTGAAATATTGTGTTCAACATAGTGCTAATTACATTAGCCTAGAGAACATCTAAGATCTGACACTCATTAGGGCTTAGCACTCAACCTATTAATCACCATGGTGGGGTCACTGGGTAAGACAGTATGTTCAGAGGCTTGGCCTGTGATGTCAGGGCCGGAGTCTCTTGTAATAATTAGTTGGCATTTGGGCCTTGGTAGCAAGGTATTATCTTCCCTTCTTATGTCTGAATTAAAAATGAAACTATAATAAAAGGCATGCAGGAAGGATGGAAAAGAATGCAAATTATGTTTACCCTTTACTTCATCCTTAGAATAATGGCATTAAATTACAGTACCCCATCTGGCCATCCGTATGGTCTCCTGGAGCTCTAACGAATTTCAGCAAATAGGTCAAGGAGAGTGGTCACCCCATTAATAAAGCACTAATTAGAGGTAGAAAACATATTACGATTTAAAGTTTCCACATTGTTTAGACAGATATAAGGATTTATTTTGTAAACAGTGATTATGTTGGATTATCTTTTAGTGCAATGTGTGTCTTTGTTACTATACCAAAAGATAATGTGAACATGGTTAGCTACTCAATGACAGAACACAGATTTGGTACTCTGTGAGTACCTCATGTTATTTTTCTGGTGATATCTGTTATGACTTGGAAGAATCAGCCATTCTAAAGTGGAGAGTTGGCTTTATCTCCATGGCAACTTGCTCTTCTGTGTTACGTGAGCAGTACCTGCCAATTGTGCTAAAGGAAGGGTGATGGTTTTATGATGGACTACTATACCCAAGGGACCAAGCATCAGACCACTGAGCTTATTTGACTGGAGGCCAACAAGCAAAAGGTTTTAGGCACAGGAGGTTGGTGGCCATAGTATATAATGTGTATTTTTCTATTCTTTTTAAAGTCTAAATAAGCTCACTATATTATTTTGCTCTGTGCTCTAAATATGTTTGCAGAATGAAGGAGACTATGAAAATAAGTCATATGGTGCTGTATCTTAGCAGCAATTAAGATAGAAAAGAAGTTCATTCTAACCTTGCAATTAAGATACCTAGGACTTTCAGCTTAGCTTTACAAAACCCAGAGTACCCAAAGTACCAGGTACACTTGGACAGCCCTGTGCAAGCAGGCTGTGTTCTTCTTATACCTACACCATGGTGGGTTATTTTTTCATCCACGAATGTAGATATTGCTAAGGTTTTCCTAGGAAAATGGTCCAGTGTGGCAGAAACCATTTTGCTCACCAAATTTCCATGTGCTCTTGAGTATTTCCCAGCTTCCCTTTTATTTATTTATTTTTAAATTTTATTTTATTTTTGGCTGCATTGGGTCTTAGTTGCGGCATGCAGGATCTTCACTGTGGCATGCGGGATCTTTCGTTGCGGCGGAAAGGCTCTTCATTATGGCACACAGGCTTCTCTCTAGTTCTGGCCTGCAGGTTTTCTCTCTAGTTGTGGAGCGTGGGCTCTGTAGTTGTGGTGCACAGTTTCCAGAGCTCTGTAATGTTTCCATGGGCTCTGTAATTTGTGGCACGCGGGCTGTCTAGTTGAGGCACGTGGGCTTAGTTGCTCCGTGGCAGGTAGGATCTTAGTTCCCTGACCAGGGATAGAACCCGCGTCCCCTGCACTGGAAGGTGGATTCCTTACCACTGGACCATCAGCGAAGTCCCCAAGTGACTAGTTCTGACCAATGAAATGTGAGTGGAAGGATGTTTGTCATCCCTGGACACCTGGACAAGGCAGTTCCAGCTGGCATCGATCTTCCTTTTCCTTTTTCCCCACAACCTTATTTCATATGATGTGGCTACAAGGGGAAGATCCTTGGTCCACTTTATACTTTGAATGAGTAAGAAAGAACTTTTTATTAAGCTTCTGCAGTTTTCTTCTGTGGAATAAAACCTAGATTATACTGATCAGTACAAACGTGAAGGCTTAGATTGTTGTGTAACCACAGTATAAATTATGTAAATTTTAA